AATAATAATAATAATAATAATAATAATAATAATAATAATAATAATAATAATAATAATAATAATAATAATCCCTGAAAGCAAATCACTTCCTTACTGCTCTCCTCAAATTAATGCAGCCCTGGCCATGAAGTGACCAGCACTTGATCTCGACTCAAATGAGACTTTCCATCTTTCTCTTAATAGAAGGTGACTGCACCGTCTTTTCTTCCTGTGCCTTTTGCATGCAAACAGAAAACCAGCCTCCAGGTTTATATTTAATAGAATGACACTTTTTTTTTTTAAAAAAAAAAAGCCTTTTATATAATAGCCTAGAAAATGAAAGTATAAGCCACATGGACTAATAAGCATGGCACACCCCAAACTCATGCTGTGCAATTTCACACAATCCATCGAGATGTATAATTTACCGTGGCGAGCACATTAAAGGAAAAAGTCAGGTGGAAAAAAAATAATAATGATGCAGGGAGTTGCATGTTTAGAACGGGGACCTTTTAACTATACAAAAGTGTTCCTTTCTCCCGTCTCTTTGCTTGGACATGGAGAAAGAGATGCCAACTACGTGATCAGCAACAAGCAACTCCCCCTGCCTCTTGGTCAAAATTACACCTGTTGGAAGAGCAGCTAAGGGAAGCGGGGAGGAGGGAAACCATGCCGCCTCACACTGTCTGTCAGCAACGGCACACAATGTCTGGGACCAATGGGGGGGTGGGGGTGGGGGTGGGGGGAGACTCCATCAACCCTACGGGCAAGTTGCCCCAAAGAGTTATCCTAGCACGCTTGCACTCTCTCCTGTCTCCATCATGCTCCCCGTGTAGCGTTCTGGCTGAACTGTCCATGGTGCTGATCGCTCGTCACCTTGGAGGTTTGGTCTCCAAGAGTGAAGCTACAGGGCGGTTGGGCAGAAAAGCCAGGCTACATGTATATATATATATATATCCTCCCAAAGTAGATACAGCAGCTGCAGCCTTTTAAGGCTAGCTGCATTGTGTCACCTGTTTGTGATTATAGCAAAAGGCTAATCAGGACATTGAAAATAGAAAGACACCTCCGGAGAGGGAAAGAGAAGGACCACCCGCACAGCGGCTCATTACACCAAGCAATGGCTAAAGGGGAGACGGGGGGGGAGCTGCATTCTGAAAGCTCCCCGGCATCTCCAACAGTTCCATGTCCACGCTTCCATTAGTTCCCCGTCAAGAGGCACTTCCAGGTTGAAGAGCCTTTTCATTTAGCCGAGTCTCCCAGCCAAGCTCACTTGTGTGAGACAGCATACGAGCCCGTCTCCCTCCCCCCCACTTCTCCCCAAAGCAGAGAAACTCTGCATGCAATCGACACACACCCAAAAGGACCCAGAGGTGGGGAGGAAGGGCAGAACAACGTTTCCTGGTCCAGCTGCCCAGGTTAGCCAGGGAGAGGGAGCCGGTAAGCAAGGTTGCACGAGAGAAAAGAGCCTTACCTTTCATCCAGTCCACTACTTGCTTCGGCGTCCACTTGCTAATAGGTTCCATAACAAGGGCCATCATCAGACAGTGTCATTCACACCAGGAGGAGGGGGAAACTGATGGTTGGGGGTGGGGTGGGGGGTGTAGAAGAGAGAAGTGGGGAACAAGAAAGAAAGAAAAAAGAGAGAGAGAGAAATGGTGGGTGGGTGGGTGAATGAAAGAGTGGGTGGGTGAGAGGTGAAAGAAATGCCCAAATGTCTCAGAGCATGGCTGGAGAAGACCGCGTGAGGATTTCACAATGCAGTCCGAGGATGAGTTGATGCTTTGTCCCTCCAGGTTCTTCCTGCACTGATTCAGTAATGTATAAAATTATTCTGCCTGATCAGTTCTAGCACCTCCCCTGCCGCACACAGCCAGCAGCCCTCTGGAGCTCAGTGAATCAGGAAATGGTGCAGTATGTCTCTACTTACTTACCTCCCCCCCCCCCACACCAAAAAAAAAAAAAAAGGGCAGTCCCTCTACACCCAATGATCTACTTATTAAGGCTGGCACAAATATGAAATTACAGGGCACCCTCCTGCCAACGAGACTCTCTTCCCCTTTTCTATGTCAAGCCTGAAGATCTGGCTTTTTCTTTTAAAAAAAACAACAACCACCAACCCACAAATATTATGACTGTTATTATTATTTGCTTAGATCATGGACTGAGAAGGAAGGTAGGAGGGAGGTGGAAGACGGGGTTGGGTGGTGGGGGGAGAGAGAGAATATAAATAGAATGAAATTGCTAACTGGAACTTGATAGCAGATTGTCTCTCAGTTCAGCAGCAAAGAAAAAAAACTGCTGAATGTCATGAACAGATTCAAAGAAAGCATGCTAGCGTTTGGCAGCTGGCAAGAGAGAGAGCGGGGAGGGAGAGAGATAAAGAGGGAGAGAAGGAGAGAGAGAGAGAGAGGAGAAAGAGAGAGAGGGAGGGAGATGCTGAGCTTTTTCCTATTCCCAATCATGCAGCATGTCCCTGGAATCTCTAATTGTGGAAGTCAGTGGGTCACGTGCTGAAGGCTAAGTCTCCCACATGTCTGCCCGTCCTTTCCCAGGATCAGAGCCCCATTGTCTTCCTCGGTAGGGTTCCTCAGAGGGAAGACATCAGCCCTCGCTTCCTTCCCCTGGCTTTCCCTAGCATTGGCTACGAACCGTCATGGAATCAACCCAGGGGCACCCCGTGATTCCAACCCCCGAGCAGCTGGTTTCATTCCTTTTGAGATTCGTTGGGTTTCACGCTGTCCAATGGGGCTGAAAGCAAAACTTTTGGGAAAGGAGAGAAAGAGAGAGAATGCTTAAGCACAGAAGAGCGGTTGGAGGGCTCGGGTCATGGCTTCAGTAGGTGTGTGTTCCTGCTACCCTATGGGAATTCTCAAATATTTCACCGAACAGATGTTTTCCATCATGAGCTTAAGCAAGTACATGGCCTGAGATGATCTGCTTTTCATTGTCCAAGCTCTGCGGTCACAAGATAACTCCCCTGCCAGGAACCACACCGTCACTTCTACTTATGGAAGAGCTTTTTCTGGGGGGAATTTTCCCCCCCCCTGTCCCCCCCCCCCCCCCCCCACACACACACACGAGGGTGGTTCAGGGACATCAATATTTCTTAGGTGGCCAATGTACTGAACAATATAAAGGCGGCTCCGGACATCATCCAAGAAATGATGACAGGGATTCTGTGGGACCTTAACCCAAATTGTGTAAAAGGATTACAAATTTATGAGAAAATACTAACACAAGAGCTTTTGACTGGGGCGTGTAAACCAGCGCCTGCTTTTCCTGTGTCAGATGAGACCACAACTTTCTCCTTCTGTCCTGGCCATTTTTTACACAATTGAGAGTGTTTTAACAAACCGCGTCACAGTCTGGTTTGATGGCAGCAGCATCTCAGATAGAAAGTCCCTACAGAGTGTGGTAAGGACAACCGAGAAGATTATAGGAAGTTTGCTTCCCTTTATTCAGGATATTGCTTATAAGCACTATGTGCTTAGAGCTCTAAGCATTGTTAGAGACCCCACACACCCACTTCACTGATTTATGACTGTTTTTCATACTTATGACATTGCAACAATGCAGCCCCCTCAGGGTCACGTGATCAACATCTATACACTTAGCAGCTGACTCATATTTATGACGGTTGCAGTATCCCAGGCTCATGGGATCCCCTTTTGTGACCTTCTGACAAGCAAAGTTAGTAGGGAAGCCAGATGCACTAAACAACCGTAATACTAATAACTGCAGTGATTCACTTAACAACAGTGGCAAGAAAGATTGCAAAATGGGACAAAACACACTTAGCAACTTTCTCTCTTAGTAATAAAAATTTTGGGTTATAAGTTATATGTTGAGGACCACCTGCATATGAAAGGGCTTCCATCCAAAATAATTCTGAACAACTGAAGGTAAGGATAAGGACATTTTCTTTCTGGACTGAAAACTAAAGAGTTTATTTATCATCAGCATTCCGTTTTTCTCCACTTATCCCCAATTTGGTGGCCCATTGGTGCACCAACATAAAGAAGAGTTGGGTTTGCTTAATGCAAAAGGAAGAAGATAGAAGGGCTACTTTAATTTCTTCTTGAAAGTCTCAAGTGATGGTGCTCCTACAACTTCCAAGGGCAAGCTGCTCCATTGGTTAATTGTTCTTGCTGTCACAAAGTTTCTCCTTATTTCCAGGTTAAATCTCTCCTTGTTCAGTTTCCATCCATTATTCCTTGTCTGGCCTTCGGGTGCTTTAGAGAATAGCTTTTGCCCCCGTCCTCTCTGTGGCAGCCCCTCAAATATTGGAAGACTGCTATCATATCTCCCCTGGTCCTTCTCTTCACTAGACGAGCCATGGATGGTAGTTTACCAAGAACTTTCAAGGCCATTAGTGTCCCATTAATAAGGAATCACTGATCCATATAAATAGATCTAGAGCAAAGTCAGTGCTAGATTTAACAACCTGCTTTATGGGTTGTTGCTATGGACTTAAACTAAGAGAAGTATACTATATTTACCATTTTAAGTGCTTGAAGAAAAGTCAGGCCATAAATAAATGAATAAGTCAAGAGTAGGTTTATGCAGAATGATTACACGCATAGTTCTTCCTTTTAAACATAGTTCCCATTAACAGGATCAATACAGTGCCATAAATTGGGTTACATTTATAGCTTAGTGACTGAGATTTAACAGATTAACAGAGTTGAAAAGGACCTTGTAGGTCATCTAGTCCAATCCTCCACCCAAGCAAGAGACTCTACACCATTTCTGACAGATGGCAGTCTAGTCTCTTCTTGAAAGCCTCCAGTGATGAAGCTCCCACAACTTCTGAAGTCAACTTCTGCTCCATTGGTTGATTGTCAGAAAATGTCTCCTTATTTCCAGATTGAATAGCTCCTTGATCAGTTTCCATCCATTATTCTTTGTCTGGCTTTCAGGTGCTTTGGAAAATAGCTTGATCTCTTCTCTGTGGCAGCCCCTCAAATATTGGAAGACTGCTCTCTTGTCTCCCCAGGTCCTTCTCTTCCCTAGACTGGCCAGGCCCATTTCCTGCAACCGTTCATTGTCTTAATCTTCATTCCCTTAATCATCTTGGTTGCTCTTCTCTGCACTCTTTCTTTTTTTTATAGTTTGGTGACCAAAACTGGATGCAGTATTCTAGATGTGGTCTTACTAAGGCTTTATAGAGATTATTTGCATGTGGACAATTGCAAGATTCAATGCCCATCATCTCCTAGTAGAAATCTTCTGAGATACTGATAAACCACTGCTAGTCAGGATAGAGTCACAGTAAGTTAGAATGAGGGTTGTTTTGCTTAGACTGTGCAAACCCAGATCTTGGCTGCTCAGCTTTCATTTAGGACTTAGCGTGATGTGGGAACCCAGGCATACTGAAGAAATGTTTTATGTTTTCATCCCAGCTCCATTAGTGGATGTGATGTGCATTAATGAAAAACATGAAAGAGATGAGTTAATATGGGATACATTATTCTACTGGCGTAGAGCAAAAACGCCTTCCCGTAAATGGATTGTGCTGACCACATAAGTCTCTCTACTTGTCAAGATTGCAAATCCTCTTTGGGTTACACTAAAAAGGTGCTCTTTGGTAGCCCAAAAGAAACCAGCTATGTGTTTAGACTATATGAACATTGGACTCTAGAGAAAGCATAAAAGAATCTTCCCTAAGAACTATTGTTTGGTTTCCCATCCTAGGATGTCCATCGTTATAATATCTAGTTGGACTCAAGGAATTTATTTTTGTTGACAGATGTTGCTTTTTTAAACAAATAAAATATTGCAAAGATGTTATTGCTAGCTTGACCTGAGACAGACAGACAGCATGTTTCCAAAGCAGAAGTAAAAAAATCTGTTTATCACAACTTAAATGAGTTGGTTTATGAATCACAGGAGAAAAGACCCTACTGGTTGAAATTTGGAAAATGTCCTGGGTGAACTTTCATCCATATTTATTTTATTTATCCAGTTTGAATAGTTGCCCCTCTCAAAGAAATGTCAACTCTGAAGCTGACCTGGCTGTGGCCATTTTGGGGCTTCAGTGCTACCACAACTGGAGCTGTGGGAAAGGAAGAGGGGAGTAGAGATAGCTGGGATGCGGTAGCCACAATAAAATACTTTCTCTTGAGAACCAAAGACATTCCCACCAGGTGTCCAGAAGGAGGGAACTGGAGTCATCTAGCAACTGGACTGTATCCTGATTGGACCATGGGACTGATTGTTGGGAGAAAGTGGAAGAACTCTTACTTTTAATTAGGTGAAAACCATGAGAATATTTAGAGTTGGTTGTCACCAGGTCGTGCCAATATGACATACCGAACAAATATATTCTTTGATGAATTCAACTGCCTTGGAGTTTTGATTGCTATGGATGTGTTACAGTGGTGGGATTCAATTTTTTTTACTACTGGTTCTGTGGGCGTGGCTTGGTGGGCGTGGCAGGAAAAAGATACTGTAAAATCTCCAGTCAGTGGTGGTATTTGCCAGTTCTCTGAACTACTCGAAATTTCCGCTACTGGTTCTCCAGAACTGGTCAGAACCT